GGGCAGGACTCAGCTGCTCAGATTTACTGATGGCAAACCTCCTTCAAGGAGCGCCTCATTTTTGCAACTGCTTGCAACTGGAAGCAAACCCACAGAGCTCTGAAATTCTCTGCAGAAGCTGTGAGACGGGTTTTGAGTCATTGCAAACATTTTGGTTTGACATTCTGATGTGAGACGCTACAGAATTTCAAAGATAAAAAGTGCTTCAAAGCGGAAGCTTTCATCCTCAGAAGCCTGCAGCAAAGTTTTGACAGCACTGCATTTTCCTACTAAAACGCTGCCTATATTTTTGCAAGCAAGTTCTAAACTGCATTTCCTGTTTTTCTATCAAATGTACTCTGGCACGTTTTATGGTTCATTAATAATACCCTGCACTCCCCACGCACCCCATGCACCCACACCCGCAGTACCTATGGAGGACAGCAGCCCCTAGCAGTCAGCATTGGGCTGAGCAGCTCCCCCTGTGCGGTGCCCCTGGAAGAGGCTGCTCAGCTCTTCCCAAAGACCTGACTGCGGAGATCCTGCAACAAAACATCTCTTTACATCCTGTGAGCCGCCTGGAAGCAGCAATAATTGAAGTGCTGCCATACATAGCTGGCAGAAATGCCTTTTGGACGCGTGCAAAGTTCTGCACAGCTTTATGCAACAAGAACCGGGCAATTGAGCTCATTCTGGTGTAAGAGGTACAAACTGCATGGAGCCTTCCGTGGCTGCATTGCTTTATTCCTGGATTCAACCTCCTTCCACCATCCCGAGACACCAAAACCCGCACCTGCAGAGTAACGGCAAGGAGGGCTCAGCGCTTCCAAGCTCACCGCACATCACCTGCAGTCTGGCCGTGATTTACTGCACCCACACCGCTGTCCTCCAGCAAAACCTCGGACTCCGCTCGCTTCTGCCTCTCCCACGGACCGCGGCCCATTCTGACACGGACGCACAGCCGGGCCCACCTCGCTTCGCTGCTCCTCCGCCGTCTCAGCCGGCCCATCCTACGGCACGCGGCACCCGCACCGCTCCGAAGCCCCGCGGCCGGGAACAAAAAGCGGCCGCAATCCCGGCCTCGGGCGGCTTCCACGCCGCGGGGCTCACCGCGAGCCGCGCTCCCTCGAGCAGGCACGGACGGGGTTCGAACCCGCGATCTTCGGTTTACGAGACCGACGCCTTACCACTTGGCCACCGCGCCTGACGGGCTAGCAGCAGCCGCGCGCAGCCAGTGGAAGGCGGCGGCCTCCCGCCCCGCGCGGAGCGACCCGGGCGGCGGCAGGGCGGGGGGGCGGGGGCGAAGGAGGGGCGGCCGAGCCGGGTGCTGCCGGATCGAGGCGGCGCCACGGAAACGGGCGGCGGCCGCGGGAACGGCCCTCGGTCGGAGCTTCCCCGGGCCTCCGCCTTCCTCAGTTCCCCGGGTTACGGGAAGCAGCCCGCTCCCCGCTCGGCTCCGCTGCTCCGCCTGAATTTTCACATTTTACATCTTCTGCTTATGCCGTCACACCACAACAGGGCAGCACCGATTTATGCAGTTATTCCTATTTCCTCCTTGGGGCTCCACGCTAGGACTTCTGGCTGAGGCTCGGCTGCAGCCGGGCAGTGCCAGCGCTCAGCCCCGCAGCACCCCGCGAACCTCCCGGCCTCCCGCCGGCACAGCGCCCGGACGGAGCCGCTCCCTGCTCCGCTGCCCCGGCCCGGCCCGCTCCCCGCCGAAGCGCTGAATGCAATTCCGGCCGCGTTTTGGCAGCCTGCGCTACAGCACAAGTGGGAGAGAGCGCACGCAGGCGGTGCTGAAGTCGGCCCTCGTGCGGCGCCGCATCCCAGCTACCTGCCCCTCTTGCTGTTTGGAATTGTGATTTATAAGCCCTGTGTTAGGTGCTGTGGCACCCATTAATCACCCACCTGCTTCATACAGGTCTGTTAGCTAATGCACAGAGGTCTGAGTGCGATGAAATAGGGGTGTAAGCATGCCTAAGCATGCCTCCTATCACAGTACTTACGTATCAATGCTACAAAGTTACCATTAACCCAAATTCTTAATCATCATACAGCTAGACAACGGTCAATGCACTCTTCATGCGCTCCAGCCCCTTTCCTGCCTCCCAAAAGCAGCTGGCTCCAAGAGCACAACTGCTGCTGAGCTACGTAAGCAGAGTCCCTGCTGCAGCGTGTAGGTCAAGAGAGATTCAGAAGGGAGCAACACATCCCAGAACCCCATCCTCCAGACATGGCTTTGAGACTCATATGTTGAATGCTTATCTGCCAGGATGAGATCAGTGCTCAATGCCAGGCCGGTGCACTCCCTTGGTGCACACACAAGATGGATTTTCTGTCTGCAAAGGCTCTCCTTGCCCCCACCCAAGGTTCCAGGAGTCAGAACTCCTGCAATCTCATTCCTGCTCTGCTACTGCCCCACTGAACCTCTGCCTGGTTTCAGGACTCCTTTCTCCTTTTCCCCAAAAGATAAGAGCAGGGGTAACCATCACCACAGGGAGCTCAGGCATCTCAGTCCTGTTTGCACGACGATGCGGGGCTCTGAGCACAGAATGGCACCACTTGTTACAGCTGTTCCAGGCTGCGTGACACAGTGCTGACGTGCACCTCCCTCCCAGCACCAGCTGGTCCATTTTTCCAGCCTTCCATTTTCCACCTTCTTTGTGAGCCAGTGTGTAATGGACTGAAGCAGGTCAGTAGTGCAGCACATCAGCCGGAGCTGCTCTTGAGATTTTGGGGCAGAACTGCTTCACATTTCCTTGGTGCAGCAGTTTAACAGACATAGAGGGGCACTGGTAAGGCCTGCTGTTACAAATCTGAATATCCAACACTTCACTGCCATAAGGAATGTGGAAAAGGGAAAGGCCGAGCGGTCAGGGGTTGCACTGTGGGTGCCCTCTGTTCAGTGCCTTTACTGCCGGGAGCAGCTGCCAGCCAACGGCGGGCAGGCAGATACTGGGCAGTGCAGACAGCGGCTGCAGGAACCATCAGCTGCACAGCAAAGTGCTGTGATTGCTGAGGAGGACCGAACCGCATGGTAAAGGAGGCTAATTACTGCGCTCCTTTTATACAGTAACATAAAACTAGCCTCTAGACTCCGTTGCTACAATAAATAAGCTCAGATTCAGAAAGGAGAATGTGCATCGCTAACGAGCATTCCCCTTCTTCCCTCTCCCTTAGAGAGCTCACCACAGCCTCAGCGTTAAATTACGCACCTCAAGGACAGATCTCTGCAGAGCACCGACCCCAGCGGCATCGGGGGGCTGTGGGTAACCCTCCCATGGGCACGGCTGAGCCCCCCGAGGGGGAGCGCGGTTCCTCGTGAGGAAAACCGTAATCCCGTGGAAGCGCCGTGCAGCGGCGGTGTGAGCACGCAGTACGGGCACACAGCGGTGGGACGGGCACACAGTATATATGGGCGCGCAGTATATATGGGCACACAGTATATATGGGCACACAGTATATATGGGCACACAGGCAGAGTGGGGTAGCACTGAGGGGCAGCACGCGGCCGCTCGGCACAGAACCTTCCAGAACTCCACCCTGCATTTCCACAGCCGGACCCGCGTTTCTTTTTTCTTTACTCCAGCCATTAAAGCAAAACCTGGAGAAGAGGCTCAAAATAGAAAAAAAAGTTACAAAATAAAGATAAAACTTTACCTCAGCGTTCTGGTCCGGAGGATGCGGCGGGCAGCGGTACGCCGTCCTCGTTCCACGAGGGAGGACAAGCGAGGTCCTGTGACGGGTCCGGGTCCCAACCGAGGCCCCGCCTCCCGCAGCCCCCCCCCAGCTCCCGGACTGCTGGGAGCGTCGCTCTGCAAGCGCGAGCGCGGCCCCGCGGAGTACAGACGGATCCCCCGCAGAGCCGCAGGTGCCGCTCAGCAATTAGTTAATTGCAGCTGGCCGCGGGCCTGCCAACAGCTCGCAGCTGGAGCTCGATTTGCTCGCAGCGCTGCACGAGGAGCCGCACAGCCGCGTGCCGGCACCGCATCGCCGCGCGATGCCTTCAAACCGTGCGGGAAAGGAGGGAGTCGGGCTGCAAACTGGTGCCGTGTGCTGTCACAGCGAGGGGAAAGGGTTCACGGGAGCGAAGACAGCTTTATTGTCCCTGTAAGGAGAAAACTGTAATGGCAGGGTGTGACAGGACTGACATGGCTTCACGGGTGGTGGAAATTACAGAATGAAGTTGCAAATAATTGTATGCTGCTTTTGTTGGCTGCTTTTTTTTTCCTGTAGCAATGAAGCGAATGGACTTTGCTCAGTTTCCAACCAAGCCACCCTTGAAGCCAAAAATAAAACCACCTCCTTGCTTCCAAGGCAGCTTCCTGGGCTGAGAGGTGGATGCCAGATTCAGTTTAAAGATTTCAGCTCTCTGAGGAGGGAACGTTGCATTTTATAGATTAAAACTTTGGGCTTTGGAGCTTTTAGTAGGTGCTGCTTTTTGTACGCCTCGCCATTTATCTCACCGTATCCGCGGTGCTTATCGGTGCTCCGTGAGACACAAGAGGGAACAATTCAAGCATCTGACCAGGCGGGGGGGTCAGCACTCAATGAACGCAGCCACGTTTTGCTGTGCTACAAACCCAAGAGTTTTCCCTGCAGCTGCTAAGTGTGAAAAGCAAGGCGCTCCATTCCTCAGGTCTGCAGGAGGTGCTTAAGGCACAGTTTGCCATCTGGGTAAGAAATTCTGCCCCCTTCGTACTTTTCATGCACTTTTAGCCTTGCAGACCCAGGGTCCTTCCTTAGGAAAAGAGGCCACAGAAGGCAGGAAGGGAAGAGAAACAAATCCAATGAGGTTTACCCTAAGAAGGAGGACCTGTAAATGGGCACTGCTGTCCTTTTTGATTCCAATAGTCAAAGTAAATCACTCACCCATTTCCACAAAAATAACCCCAGGACTGAAATAAACCTAAAATGGGCAACGCGTTCAAAGGAGGTTTTTGTCTGAAGTCCATTTCAAGTGCAGATGGAAACAAATAGCCTCTGATGTGCATAAAAACTACGACCACTGAGGCAGGACCTTAACACACAGCTGGGTGTTTTATTTCCAATTAACCAAAACTAACAAGCAGATAAAATTGGTCTCATAGTGACACCAGAACAGATCCAGGGAGTGTGTGAGATACTGCCATAAAGAGACCGGCCACCTGACAGCACACTGCTAAAACAAGACAAAGAACTGCTGATTAAATTACATTTCATTTGCTAAGGAATTCTGAACATGACCTAGTGCTTCTAAAAAAACCTGTATAAAATGAGTATTTTTTACATCTCAGGCACATGAATACAAATCTGAGCTATTTTATATATACAGACATTTACATTACATGAAAATCTGAGATGAAGATCAAATGAAAAAAAAAAAAAAAAAGCTTTTATAAAAAGTACCCAAAACAGCAGACGAAATGTGAAAATACAATGCATTCTCACAACAGAGAAGTAAAAGGCACGAATACTAAAATGTATAACCATGCAAAAATGTAAGTACAACCTGTGCAACAAAGCAAAACAAACGGCTCCCACAAGTGGTTTTACAGTAATTCTCAGAATATCACAGTATTGAAACATACTGTAAGTGCAACATTTACTGTCCCGTAGCACAGTGAAGTGTTCACACCATACCAAATTCTCCCTTCCAATCTCCCTTCTCCAAAGCCAGAATGATTTAGCTAAGGATAAAGCGTTAAATCAAATGGAGCTGATGTTGGGTGGTGTAAGGTGGAAGAGTAACTGCAGCCCTTCTGCATCCACTACTTACTGTGTATGGAATGTGCACCGACCAGAGCAACCCCTGCCCCTGGCCAGGGCACAGAGGGCTTTGCAGAGGTTTGCCAGGGTGAATTTCACTCTGCTGAGAGCAGTGATGTGAAAGCTCCAATGTCACAGTTGCACCACTAACAACACCTACATAAGAAACAAACACAGATCCTAGGGGTAGGTAGCCAAAATATACCAAGGAAGTCCGTGGTTATTAATGCTTTCCTCACTAGGCTAAAGTTTAAGTTAAAAGATATTCTCTCCCTAGTTACATGTTTCAGTGTGTGCTGCTCTCACAGTTGAAAAAAAAATAAAATAAAATTCAAGACCGAAGCCAATAAACCAAAGGAAAAAAAAAGAAAAAGACAAATGCATAAGGAAGGCAATGTAACACTGTCACAAACTGCCTGCACTCACCCAACCTGCTGAATGGGCAGCATTATCCGTAAGTTATGCTTGCTAGGCTAAGCCAGTAGGTTTGTGCCTGCAAACAGTGTACAATTACAGCATGCCACTGGATAGCTATTCAGAACTGAGGTAAAGCTTACAGGGATGCCCCAGTGCTGTCTGTCCAGGACGGAGTTCAGCCTCGCAGTGAGACTGAGGTGGCATTTCCCTCAGCCTCAGCAGGGGCTGCTCCTTGGCATGCTGCAAACACAGCAGGAACAGCTTCCTTCGTCCTCCCCTGCAAATAAGGGCAGAGCCCTTGGCTCTGCAACCTGTCTCATTGAAGGGGTGCAAGCACGAGGAGCACATGAACAAAGCCCACCCTCAAGGAGCTCCAGCAAGCCTGAAAGAGCCTTTTCTGAGAGCACCAACTCAGTATTAGGTGCCCTCCCAGACAGATCACCACTGACGTGCACGAATCACGGATAACTGAGCTGGTCTGTGCAAAGCACTCATCCATATTTTAACCCTCAGTAAACCTCAACTTTGTCCATCAGTGTTCAACCAGCAACTGCTGTTTTTTTTTTTTGATACAGAAGACTGAATGACCACAAATGAGATCTCAGATGGAAAAGAAAAAAAAAAAAAGAAACATTTCTCAGTGCTAAGGGGAGCCACGAGAGGTTCCTCTGCGGGAGCCATCAGTTCTTCCTTTTTCATTTCTTTTTATTTTTTTCCCCAAGCATAACAGAACTCTTCCCTTCTCTCTTTTTTCTTCCTTTAGTGGTTATAGAAAACAAAGGGTGAGAGGCAGTAGGTGAGAATTTTCTCTAAATCTTTTTAAAAGGACAACAAGTTACTCACAATGGGGATTTCACACCTCTTCTAGTCACTATATAATAAAAAAAACCCTAATAAATATAATCCACAGCTCAAGTTCCGCATTATTGTGTGCTAACACACAAGCCTTTGGTTAAATTACTGAAAGATTTTGTTTGTAGTGCTCAGCTGAACCAACACTGTCTCCTAAAACAGAGAATAACCACAGAAGCCCCAGCGAAGCCTCCCTCTGTGCAGAACAGAACCCTTGCAAGGATTATAGGATTCCAGCCAATGTATGTGCAAAGCTTCAATAAATGAGAAGAAACTCACACACACTCCACACTTCAATGGCAAACTGCCCTGGGATCAATATTTTGGATTGAGAAATACTGAGAAAACAATCCCAAGGTGCTGCCAAGGAACAACGTGCCAGCAGCTGCTGAACATTTCCTTTCCTTCAAGATCAGCTGCTGGCTACGTAAGCAGTCCTGCTTTCTTGAATATGTTCCTTGAGTAACAAACGACCTAGCAAGAGTATGAATATTACTGCTTATGCCAGAACCAATGCAGTTACTGCTTTTCACTGAAATCAACATAAGCCACCGACCTGGAAAGTGTCAGATCAGCTGCTGCTTCCTTCCTTCCTTGGAAAACATCCCGCACCATGCAGTATGTGAGAAAAAACCACTGTCTATCCACTGCCACTGAAAAGAAGTATTTACTTGTAAATTCTAGTTCTTAGACCCATCACATGCCGTTAGCATCATGACCTGGAGACTTCTGCACAGCGACTGCTGCAGGCCACGGTCGAGGTTTACACACACCTTTCAATTCCTAAACAGATTAGGCAGTCTAAATACAGCAGGCCAAGATCCCTTCTGGAGAGTAGAACAGAGCCTTGCTGCAGTCAGACAGCAAGGTGCTTGCTGATATACCCATTAATTAGTGACACTGCACTCAAATGCCTACAGAGCTGGCTGGGAAACATCTGAATTTCTCCCAAGACCATAAAAGGAAAGTTTTGGCAGCAAAACTGTATGGATCTTTTTGACACTTGCTACAAATCTGTGTATTGAAGACTCTTACAAACAGATTGGATGGCCACAGTTTGTCACTGTCACATTTCAAAACACAGCAAACAACTTGAGTCTTTATTACAAGTTACTAAAAAAGCTGAAAAATGCTTTGCTGTCAATCTAGTTTTAAGTCAGCACCACGCTCTGAAACCAGAAGCTGAAGGCTGGTATTTGGAGTGAAGCAGCCAATATCAGCAAACCTTGAAAGACCACATTTCAGGAACTCCTAAGTGCAACTTTTGGAAGAGGTATTTTTCCACAGCACCTGTGAGTGTGATCAGCCTGGCCAAGGACTGCTGCTAGCCAGGAGCAACTCGTTTTCTTTTTTCCACCATACAAAAATACCTGCAGTGGTTTGCAATTAGTTTGATCAGAATATCGTTTAGCTTTTCAGATCCTACAGTATAAGGAGCTAAAGAGCAGATCAAGAGATAGTACCTTGGATTGTGTTTGCATCCCTGAGGGTTAAATGAGAATCATGATTTTAACACAAGAACATTTGCTGCATTTGAGTATTGCTAGAATGAGATTATACCTTATTTCTGTTCGAAATATTGACTGAAATATACATACTTTGGAAAACTGGTACCCAATTACTCTCCCCACTGTTCCAGTGACCCACCAAAGATGATCTTACTGCCAAGTTACCTTTATGTCATAAGACGTGATGACTGATTTTGCAGGATAGAAGGGTTCTCCCAGGTTTGTTCTAGTGCCTGTAGTTACTGGGGAGCTGCTATCAGACAGCTTAAAGATGCAATTACCATCTAATTATTTTTAGAGGTGGATACCGTAGAGGAAAGTGTATCTGCCAAAGGAATGGATCTCCCACCTCCAACTCACATCACCTGCAACACAGAGTAAGGGTCTGCATATGTATTTGAGAGCTAATTGAAAGCAGTACCACGCCAACAGCTCCACACGTACGGAATTGAAACTTCTTTGCACTACAACAAAGCTACAAACAGCACCAACGTGGTGGTAAGAAAACTCTTCAAATGCCAACACCGTGGAGCAAGGAACGAACACCTTTTAAATTCTAAAGCCAGTGGGTGCAGAGCTAAATGAGAAGTCCTGCAAATCTGTAGGAAATTCACTGCTGTGCACCCTCAGCTAGTGTGCCATTTCCAGGATTGCAGCCACTCAGTGGTGAGTTACTATCAGTAACTATTAACTTTTTACATATTTACCTGCACAGAATCTTGCATATTACCACATTCATTTCTTCCACTCGTGTCCTTCAGCTCTGCAGGTTCAGTGAAGCCAGCTGTGCGCATTGCTTCCCAAGTGCTCAGCACAGTTTTCTGCAAACTAGTCCTAGTCCTCAACATTTGCTGATGTTCTACCCTAACAAGAATGGGCTTCAAGTTATTAAAATTTTAAAATTGAGTCCAGTTTACTTCAAAATATTCAGGAGAAAAACATTCAGTCACCAGTCTGACCTGCAACAGCTTCACTTACACGTAAATCCAGAGCAGGAGAGAGGGACAGAAGTGTAACTTACCAAGCAGGAAGCCCCATTAACAGGGCTGCTGGCTCACCCAGCCCTGCACGACACAGGACGTTAGCAACAGCCACCCAACAACTGAAACAGTCCTCAGTGGCCTACAAGAAGAGCAAAGTCCTTGGCACAATTCACTAACAGCACCATGCAGATGAAGACATCATCACTGCATCACAGGCGAGGAGTCCTCCTGGCAGGTATCTGTAGGTAGCACCAAGCTGCTTTAACTGTTTTTCTCCTACCTGCTGGGTGGCACATCCAGAAGCAGCAGTGGTGGAACAGGGCGTACTGAGGGGTGATCCACCTGTTTCTCCACAAACAGAAGCTGCTGCAATTTAGCACAGAGCATTTTACACCATTCCCAGCTGGTAGAGAGACAGTCTTTAAATCCCTTCCTTCAGATTACCCTGCGGCCTCAGGAATCCAGCCCTGAGACATCACTGTTTGATGGAGACTGTAACATTTCTCCCAGCGCACTGAAGTCCCACTGACTTCTTTGCTTCTGGGATGCTGCATCCCATCATTATTCCTCTGGTCCCTCTGGCTTTCCAGTTACTTTACACCTGCCTATTGCAGATACATAGAAACAAATTGTTTTTATTTTCTTGCCTTCAAGACAGCCTAATTTCAGTACCTCCCCCCCTCCCCTTCCCAACACTCCAGTAACACGTCACTGAAGGCAAGAGCACAAAAACTACAGAAAAATATATATATATATATTTACACCCATAACTGAATACAGATATGTATTCAAATTGAGGAAGAATGCATCACACACACACACCAAGACACAGCAAGAGAATACTAGGGGCAAGGCTGCCAACAGCAAGATATACACAGAAAAGCACAGTCACTGCTACTGTCACATTCTCCTGCGGAGCGCATTCAATAGAGGGAACAGCTCTGGGCAGTGGGAAGAGCCACATCACTATGAGGAAGGGCCTACTTTCTGTGCCAGTTGGCATCAATCAAAAAGAATTTTGAAGTGTAAAATTTTTAGTTAAAAAAAAAAAAGTGCACGGAATAAAAATCTTCTAAGCATTCAATTATCAGACAATGCCATAAGCTTCTTCTACATAAGCTACATCACTAATTAAAAAGGTCCTAGCACTACATCACAGAGATCCAGCCAAGGAAAACACAGGCACACGTTGAAGTCCATCTCTACTTAAGGCAGCAGCTGAGCACACACTCAATTTTAAAGCTTTATGTCCTGTCCCACTGACTTCTATGAGCAGTCACAGCATGCATTTAAAGTTAAGCACTCATACAACTGCTCACGTAAGCCAGAATGCATTCCCTGTTCAGAGCTTCAGACAAGCACGTGTGTACTCAGCCCGGGTTGACAACTTATGCAAGACCAAGCTCTTCTATTTTTTACTGCCCTATAAGTAAAAGCCACTTCACATGAGGCTTCTCCTATCACCATGACAGGACCCAGATGGCCCTTCCCACAGCTTGTCCACAAAATGCCACTCTCCAAGCAATGCAGTGTCTGATGGTGAGAAAACAACACATATTTTATTATTATTATTTTTTTAGAACTGAAATATGCTCCTTCTGTGAAACATTTAAAATTACGAAGATATGGGATTGCAGAATCCATTTGAATGGCCCACGTGCTGCAGAAGGACTCGAGAAGGACAGGCTCAAGAAGTGGGCTCACATGAACCAAATGAGGTTGAGCAAAGCCAAGCACAAGGTGCTGTGCCTCGGCCAGAGCAACCCCAGACGTGAGCACAGACTGTGAGAACAACTCATTGACAGCAGCCCTATAGAGAAGAACTTGGGGGGATCCTGATGGACAAAAACTGTGTGTTGGGCCAACCCAAAGAGGGGTGGCCAGCAAGGTGAGGGAGCTGATTGTCCCCCTCTGCTCTGCCCTCAAGGCCCCACCTGGCATATGGTGACCAGCACAAGATGTGCTGCTGTTAAGAATGAGTCCAGAGAAGGCCATGGAGATGCAAGGGCCAAATCACCTCCTGGGAAGGAACGCCAAAGGAGCTGGGCTTGTGGGGCCTGGAGAAGGCTCCAGGGAAACCTCACTTCAGCCTTTAGTACTGAAAAAGAGCTTATAAACGAGAGGGAGATCCATTTTTACACAATCTGATTATAACAGGACAAAGGGAATGGGTTTGAAAAGCAGGGGAGGGAGATTCCAGTCAGCTGTTCAGAGGAAATTCTTTACCTAGAGGGTGGAGAGGCAGAACAGGCCTGCCTTGAGAAGTTATGGATGCCCCATCTCTGGATGCATTCAAGGCCAGGCTGGCCTGATCCAGTAGGTGGCAATCCTGCCTAGAGTAGGTGGCGTGATCTGTACAAGCTTTAAAGTCCTTTCCGGCCCACGCCATTCTACAATGAACCCCTGAAAATAGGGGAATAGAGTTGAAGAGATTCCTAGCCTCAGTGCTACAGGAACCCTGGCATAAAATATACACATGTGCCCACACACACACACACACACACACAAAAGAGTGGGTTGGCTCAAAGCATCCCAAAGCAGAGTGATCTTCTATAGCTTTCTATAGAAACTTGGTGCTGACAGTGGCAAACAAATGGATAGTGATTTTACAGATAGCAAAAACTCAGCCATTTCTTCCACTTCTCTTTTTACTTTGTCTCTTTTCCACAAATGTTCTTTTCCTGGGTGTTTCTTAAGTAATAAAGCTCAATTGAATAGGAAATGACACAGTCAGTACCAGTTAGGGACTGAACCTGGGTATAATGTTTGCTTTGTGATACCCAAATTCCAGGAAGAACGAAAGAACAAATCTTGCTCCTAAAGTTAGGGTCACATCCATATGTTTCCATTGTCTTTCTTCCACCTTTACAACTAGAGGTAGAGTCATTTTGTCCAGTATCTAAAACAGCATAATCCAGTTATATTGTTATTACATTAATATACAGTATCTATCTTGACACAGGTATTGAAAGTGCAAGGAAGTCTAACCAAGCCAAGTCAGTGACAAATAACAGTGTACCAAATGTCATATAAACACACCCGCGCACCCACACTCACATGTAGTGTATATATATATTTATAGGCTAATTTACAGTATCAGAGTGTTGTTTAGATCCAGTGGCATGTGCAGAAATATAGGGCAGTTGCTGCTTTTCTTTTTTGTATTCACTTCAATTCTTTATTTCCAAGATGGATGGGTTGTGATCTAGGATTGCCAGAATGATCTTGTCCATATACTGTCGCAATCTGTAATTGATCTCTTCCTGTTCTTTAAGGGCTTCCATGAGCTGAAACACAACATTTCAGATTTACTCTTGCAGAACATTTAACCAAACAGCACGAACTCATATTGAGGTAAGAGACAATCACCTGCCAAGATCACCAATTACCTCATGCAGTATTCGACCCCAGCCTCCTCTCTTTATCTGTTAGAAACGATCTGCATGTTAAAGATCTTTATTATTTAGGAAGGTGGTGAATGGTCACCGTCAGGAATCTTTTGGCAGGTCATACGAAATAGAAATTCCACATCTAACACAGCAATCCTGCACCCACACCTTGGATGAACTTCCTCATCTCAGTGGAAGAACTTCATGGCGCTCAATTTCTACAAAGCTCTTTAGATTTCAGTAGATTTGCACGCAAGCCTGCTGAACAGAACACTGGTACATACTGGGAACAACACACATATTCCCTCTGTATCATATGCATATTCTCTTAAAAAAAAACAACAATAAACACCCTAGCTGTGTATACTCAAGAAAATTCCACGGGATGTTCTATGTCCTGCATTCAAAACGTGCTGTTGTCCACTAAACTTCTGAGCTGTGAAAAAAACCCTTTAATCCCTCCAAAGATGAAGACAGATCGCTTTGTTGCCAAAGTTGCCCAGACGTGTCAAAGCCCCAGATCCTCCTAAAGCTGATGTGATTTGAGTGTCCATTTCCATAAGCCTTCAGGGAAGTCTCACCCTCAACCTGCAGCCTCTTACCTTCATTTCAATTATATAGGAAAAAGAGAAAAATGAGAAAGATTTACACTGGTCTGTGAGGTTTACTAAGCCTAGGTCACAGCTGCAAGGCATGCTGCTCCTCTATAGGGTGGTGCTGGGCATTCTCTGCATGAGCCAAAGGCAGGAAATTCCAAAGGAAAAATAAAGATCCGTCTCAACAACAGCAAAAACCCCAATTTGCTTCCATTCAAATAGAGTTCTACAATTAAACAGCCTTTCGTCACACTGCTTTTGTTCAGCAAGACATTTGAGTACGTAATTCACTACAAGAGACTGTCCAGGGACTAACAGGGCCATTCAGGTACACACTGAATAAAAAGGTTTGTCTCAAAACTCCTCTTGAAGATGAGAGAAAGTTCTGTCCAGAAGAAGCAATGCCCTAACTTGTCTTTGTCTTTGGGAACTTTCATGTATCTGCTGGCCTGACCTCATGATCTACCCTGCAGCTTAAAGGAATTCACACCACCTTGATTCAGCCCTCATGCCAATGGTCCCCTTTCAGAGCATTACCACATTATCACTTGCACATCGCCCACCTTCTGCAAGAATCCAGCTCTGCTACAGGGCAGATTTAGATTTAAGTAAAAGCTTGTTACTGAAGTATCTTAGAACTAAATCCAGAACAGAAGGTAAAAATTCAATTAAACAGCTATAGCAATTTCTATATGAAATTAATGCTGCAATAGCACAGTACCCTGCAAGATAGAAGATGTTAAAATAAATCCCCTGTAAAATAATTCACTGAGATTCTATTTCCAGTTTTGAGATAAAAGTGAGAAAGTTATGTTAAAAGGAACACCCAGAACCACTGTTCAATTTAAATTAATCTTCTAGTATTCCTGAACTCCTTGCAAAGCAGATTTTCATTTGTCAGCTTCAATTAAATCAACCTTGACAGTTAATTACATTGAAAAATCAAGACTTTGGATGCAGTACTTGATGAAGAAAGCATATTACCTCATCTCTAGATGCAGAGTCAATCTCAGCAGCCAGTGACTGGGCTTTTGTTTGTGTTGCAAAGAGATTTTTAGCTTCATAGATACTCAGACTAAGAATTTGTCCATTAAGATCATCATTTTGGTCACGAAGTTTCTGATTCTCCTGTTTAAGGATGAAAAAATTGCTTTTAAGTTCTTTCTACATGGATTCATCGGAAAAAAAAATTAGCTAGTGTGGATGAAATACAATAAGGCTACAAGTTAGCAAACAACTCTTTCACCAGTGAGTCATCCTCACCTGAACTGCAGGTGTTTCCTAGGTACACAGTTTACAACTTGTAAGTTCCAGACAAAAGTAATGCACATCCTAAGTTAAAGTGAGCGGGGATACAGAAACCTTAAGACACCATACTGGCACATGCAGCTACCAGGATTTTTCTGAGCAGTCCTGCACAGTTCCTTTGGACTCATCCACACACTGCGAGGCCCTTCCCTGCTCACCTGCTTCAGCCGTTTTATTTCATGCTCCATTTCCACCTCTCTGGTTTTAGCATTGAATTCACTCACGCTGGATGAGGAACTTCTCCCACGTCCAGGACGCTCACATTCCAGCTTGTAGAGCTGCAAGTGCTCCAGCTCCTTTCGCAAGTCCTCAATGAGCTGCAAGGAAACACATCTCTGCAGCCTCTGCACAACCAGCCCTCTCTGGCAGCAGCCATCTCTGTGCTGCACCTTTGCACTGTGACAAAGGACAGACACTCATACAGCACAGCCTTTGCCTTCTGATGTCCAAGTTTGGTGTCTGAGAGGCATAATTCTCCTTTCAAGCTCAGTACAGCAAATCTTATGGCATGCATTCAAGGCTTCCAGTTCTCAAAGAGTATTAAACCCTTTGAGATCATCATTTATTAGGTATTCTTGCAACACTCATCGCCCTGTGGATATCCCTGTCAGAGGTGCACAATCCTACAATACATTCACCAGATGTTGTATTTTCAGTGTTCATCCTGTACACCTGTACTTTTTCAGATGAGCTTTCATGATAAAGATGCAATTGCCTGGTCTTACAACCTTCCTCATACCTACCTCCTGTGTGGCTTCCCTCTCCTTGTTAAATTCCAGCCTGTTCTGTCGCAGTTTGTCCATCATCCTCTTGTACAAATCCATCTCATCCTTCAGTCGCAGACTGGTGTCCTCCAACCTATCTGACATGCGTTGCCTTTCCTGGAATAAATTGGGTACTTTACAGCCAGTTTGCAAGTGCAAGAGCCACCCTCAGTTTTTCAACACAAGCCTACAGACACACATCTCTGCTACACCCAGACAAACTGTGAGGCATCTCAGAGCACCTCTGATACTAAAGGTGACCAATGCTCTAATTCCAACAACATTCTTGTTCAGGAAAGGCCAGTTATAAAACCTGAGCCAACCAGTGTACGACTCTGCTTTTATACAAATCAAGCTGCTGTCAAATTGCACTTGACATCCAAGACAAAATCAACACTCAGGATTTTTGTTACCTCATCTAATCTCTCTGTTTGTGATTTCAGTCGCATGACGGTGGTTTTCAGCTCACCATTTTCTTCTTCCAGCTGCTGAACCCTGTGTCAATAACAAAAGTCTTAGAGAAAAATGTATTTTCATGAATGCAGACATGCAAAGCATTGTGCTCTAAAAAGCCATTTCACTTGCACTTCATAGAAAGATTACAGAGAAACTCTGCCTAATCTTAGCATTTTTAATCACTGTTGTATGGTTTTTTTTTGCTTTTAAGGCCAAGAACACTGCACTGACTCTCAGATTCTTATATTCAATCACAACTGATGTATAAAAAAAAAAATCAAGTATGATGAAATGAATACAGAGACAAGTGCCTGGTACAGCTGGCCACAATTCTCTCCTTGAATCCATGCCAAATAACCAGCTAAGCTGTCTACATGGGCTATGTGGATTAAAGCATTAATGTAAAACATCCTCCTTGCTTTTGGGCATTAGACATGCAACTGCACAGCTACTCCGTGGAACTTTGAACCTGTAACCATCTGTGCACTGAGTGTGAACAGCCTACATTCACATGCAACAGAAGAGAACAAAAATTTGTACACTGTCCTGGGAGGCATCAAGACTTTCGTTACCTCGTATTTAGCAGTTCAATTTCCGTGCCTTTCTCTTTTTCATACTTGCTATAAGCTTCTCGATGTCTCTTTATCTCTTCTTCCAGGGTTTGTTCTGCTGATGTCTCTTGGTCTTTCAGTAGCTCTTCCAGCTCATGAACCCTAAGGAAGCCAGTAACCATTTCAGTAATAGTTTCACACATTTTTTTAAATAAAATTATGTGTGCAACTTCATTGCCTGCTTTCCTTCTCACTCTTTTATTCCATTTTACTTCTCTCTCTCTCAACACTTGACTTCTGCCAAAAGTTCTCTTGGTATTCAATCTTCCCAACACATGCAGAGTATATAGCAGTACCCACCCATCTCCTCATTCTCAGTCTCAAGAAACAATAACCAGACTTCCTTTCTACATGGATTAAAAAAATATATACAAAAACAGAAAAGCAAGAATGGTAACCCCTTTTATAACAAAAATTCTAAGTTCTCATTACAGTAACAGTATTAAGAAATTTGCTTGGAAGGTATCTGCCTGCTGAAAATGTAGGAAGGCAGTCCTGTTCCACTCGGACTTCTCACAGGAAGCCTTATCTTGTTTTGTTCTGCCCGTTCTATGCAGAAAATGTGGCCATATTTCACAGAGATGTTCTTTACCCTCAACTTTGTTCTGGCTCTACTGTGACACAAAAAGAACTGGCTCCATGATTCATTACCTGTGAACTAACTGCGTGTTCTCTTGTTTCAGTTTGCTCTTCAGGTCACCATTAGTCAGGTTATCATTTTCCAATTCTGTAACCTTTTTTTCTAGGTATGTTACCTGGAAGAGGAGAAAGTGGAAAAGAAGAACTAAGAGACTGAATCTCTCTTCACACAGCCCTTCACTGTTTCTAATGAACATTCTGCTATGGTAGCCTCTTTGAAGAGACCATATTTTCCTGCAAAGATGGTGGCAAAATTAAGCCTGAATCAGTGCTACGACACAGTAAAGAAGTACAAATGCAATGACTCCAGATCTGTACTTTCACAGCTCTTGCATGTTTGTGAAGCAGAGTTTTACTATTAATGGAATATCTTAGGCACTTTGAATGAACTACTTCAGACCACTGCAAGCAGAGCTTCATCAGTTGATGCATGTCTCGAGGAGGATTTGGTTTAGGCACATCTAATTGCAATGCACACAGCTTCTCACCTTTTCAGTTATATCATTATCACAGGAGTCTATACTATCTCTGAACAGGTCTTCTGTGCTGCCATTACTGCTGCTGAAGTTGCTATTGTGGAAGAGCTGTCTGAAAGATCACAAAGATAATTATTTTACTTGATGAGGAGAGAAGAAAAAGAGTCCAGGTGCTGCCTTACAGCCTGGTTTTGCACTTTGCACAGATTTTAGCACCAGATGTTCAGTCATCTCAGTGACAATTACCTCTGCTTAAGCACACGCCTTACAAAGGACTGGTAACTAAACAGTCATACAAAGAGCACAACATCAGTTCCAGGGTGTGAAGTCTCTTTTGGATTCGATAGGATCCGTCATCAGCATTAGCATGGCTTTAAACTTACTGAGGTTTATTCACACTACATACCAAGGTGCATTTGCTTTTTTAGAAGTTTAAAGGTTGTCACTGTATGCTGGTTGGCATGGCTAATTTAGAATAAATTTCATACAGTAAGAGCTTCTTTATAAACAGGCACAAAAGAAATTACAATATCAGTTCCCAACACAGAACCACATCATAATACATATATTACAGATTATCTGCAGTACTGCTTGAAACTTAGAGCTCCCCCCAGTCCAGGGCTGATTTATTCAGCCAAATGACATACCACAGTTCCATATGCCCTTTACAAAAGCATGCTCTTGCTATCCTTTGCATTTTAGCAATGATACCAAATATCCACACTATGATGGGGGACAGAAGCGATAGCTGGACTGATGGAACAGCAGTTTAAAGGAAGAAACCGTCAATGATCTTAATAGAGCTCTTCCCAGTTCAGGGGCCTGCTCCAGAACTAACAGACACTTCTGTGTTCTGTAATATCACCACAAGCCTCTTTTCTTGAAAATCCATCTTGGCATCTTTTTTTTTTCCTAAATTTATTTCTCCTCTGCCTTCTCTGTTAGTTATGGAATTGTTAAAGTTGATCCCAGAAGTACTCAGAAAAAAGTTGAAGATGCTTACCTTCCAAAAGCTGTGCTTGATATTTTCCTGTTAGGGCTACAAAGATACAGAAGCAATGACATAGGAATTAAACACTGAATTCAATAGCGATCAAATAAATCTTAGTTTAGCCTCTACCCAAATGGCACAATGAAACATAACATTGACTCTTTTTGTGAAATTAAAAACAAAAAAAAGATTCTGTGAACAATATCCTCAAGCAAGAGCTGCAGTTACTAACAATGTGAAGGTGAGTGGAGCCACAAGTTACTGTGATCGTTAATAAGTCAATTTGCAAGTACTGTTATATTCAGCAGATTTGTGAGTGTAAATCAGAGTGAAGTTAACATTAGAAATATCACAAAGGGACACCGAGTGATGTTAGAGGTGGACATTTATTTGGGATTCCCGAATTTCAGATGATTTTATAAACAGACAGCTTATCCTTCATCATAATACTTCCCAATTCAGCACAGGGACTGAGATACTTCCAATTTTTGCAGTTTCCTTTTACAGCCAAAGATCAGTTATTATCCAAAGGAGGGACTGCACTCCAGACTAGAAGATTAGAACCACATGAATCCATCTGGGAGAGGCAAATATCCAGTTGGCTCTCAGAAGATGCCACGTCTCTGGGCACACTCAGGCACACAGCTCTCTTCCAGCCATGTATACACAGCTCTGCTCATAAAACTACCTAAGATCTGTCCAGGCATGGTCTGGGTTTGAGCAGACTACTTGCTAGGGCAGGAACACTGTTCAGATCAAGTACCATCCTCCTGTGTCAAAAGAAGAAGCAGTGCACCGTGCCACAGACTACACAGACAGGCAGGATTTACATTTAGTTTCTAGGGGGAGCTAGAAGCCCATCAAATGATTTCCTTCAAAAAGCCTAACTGGTGGCAGTTCTGTGTGCTCAGCACAGCTCAGAATTGGTTGGAGTGACAGGGATAGAAATGTAAAGACAGCTGAATTTACAAGGAACCCCAGAAGTCATTTCTGCCCTATGATTCAACTTTTTTTCCAAGTTCTCACAAGGAAAAAAAATAAATAAAAACGTGCACAGGAATGAAGTACCTCCATTGCCAATAGCTTTGTGAGATGTGAGGTTATGCACATCAGCTAACAGTGTCACATCACCCCTTCCCACCTGGAGAAACAGGCAGCTAACTGCAGGTCTGCACTAAGAAGCACAGCAGACCCCACCTCCAGAGAAAAAATCCCAGACATGTCACTCTTACTCTGAGATCAAACAGCTCATTAGTTTATGTATTCAAGGTGTAGACAGCTTTAATGAACTCAAGTCGGAAAAATACGTATTACTTCATGAGGAGCTGCACTTAAGTTGAGGCTAGATGTCAAGGTCTGAGTTTCTTACTGCTTTGTAAGAACAAGAAAATGTGTAAGATAGAATGGAACACAAGGAAAGAAGGGGCTCTTTCTTCCTCTCTTCCTGCCACTAACTAGTTCTATTTCACAGGAACACTACTAGAAGCACTGCAGTAGGCTGCTTACCTGTTCGCTTTCAAGTTTTTCAGCCTGGCTTCCAAATCGTTGAGTAGATTTATCTTTTTGCAGCACTGTGAGCAGTAAACATCCAGTAACTCGCTGTTATAAACATGCCTCATTTTTCGGGGTGTTTGGCCAGCACTGTTTGCAGGAAAGGAGAGATATTACTGGCTACAGTAACCAACTCACAGCAGGTTTTCCTCCTGACTGTGTGTCAGAATCACAGACAAGGGACGCGAGATGCCACCTCTCACCACAGCTCATTTACCTTAGAGGTAACAATGAGGAACACTAATTTAAGGGTAAGCCTACCTGCCTGAGCTGAGTCTCTACAGAGTACGGGTTCTGGGCATCAGTGCAAAGAATCAGTTTGGGCAATGGGAAGAATAGCTCAAGACACACAGAGTCCAGGTGATGAACATAGCAAAAGCAGTTACATTTCACCTCAGCAATATCCCCTCTCTCATCCTGCCCATCTTCCCCCTGTCTGGCATGCAACCTGAAGAGTCCTTTCTCCAAGAGAAAGGCAGGAAGATGAAAAACAGCAGTTGGTAAGAAGAAGTGACACAAAGGAAGAAGCAGACATAGATAAAAAAGAGGAAAATAAACTCAAAAGAAAGCAATCATAACACAAAATGCATAGAGCCTCAGGAATGAGAATGGAAAGGACTGCATAAACCTGAGAGATGAAGGATGTAAGTCATCACCATGAAAGTGCAGCAGAGAGAGGTGCTGGCTCTGCATGCATGACCAAGGTAGCGAGGTTGGATTGCAGGATTCCTTCAAACAGAGGGTAGCATGCAAGGGTTGCATGTGGAACAGTGGGATGGCGTGAGCTTGTTCTGTGTCAGCAATGAAGCACGAGATCTTGATATGTTTTTGATTCAAGCAGATAAATCCTGGAAAGTCTTCGTGCTTGGTTCTTCACCAACTCTGTTCAACCAATTCCTTGCATGGGGAAAGATTTTTAAGTCTTTTAAAGCCTTGTTTCAAATCAACCTGTCTGTATGTGGAACTTCATCTTACAAGATAACATGAAAGATTTGCAGTATTTGAACTCTAACAAGAAACAGCTCTCTTGCAGATTTCTCCACTGCACCAGGGCTAGTTCAAAGCATTAAGCTTGTTTCTGACTTACATCAAGTAACTTCCAATACTAACCCTTAACTGTGATACCTCCTACCTGCAACAGAAAGGTAACTATACAAGCAGAAAAGCACAGTTTTTTTCAGAAGAACCCAATAATAACTATCAGATACAAAGTTATTTGCCACAGCTCTGATTATCAAGTGTACACTGTTACCTGGAGGGCAGAAAATGAGCTGATAATATTTTCCTTTTGAGGTGAGTCTTTGTAACCACTGGAAATTCTAGTATGGTCACTCAGGCTCAAAAGGAAAACAAAAAAATTTAAGAAATGTTTGTTAAGGAACAAGGAGCAACCTGGAAGATACAGATGAGCCAAGGTCAGAGTAGGCGTTGGTTCTGGTCTCATCATCAGGACAGGGGCTACTGGGAGTAAAATCCACATCATCTCCTTCCCCATAGTCTTCAAACTGCTCTTCATTACTGATCAGAGAGGCGGTGGAATAAGTGGAGAGGTCAGATGCTGCAGAAGGGTTGTGAGGACTTGCCCTGAAACAAGAGGTCGAAACATCTGGAAGGCCATCTTTGACAGCATCTCATCTCACATGGAATGCTGCACCTTTTCAGCTTGTCCCTTCACTCCAGTTTTTAAACAGGTTACAAATTCAAATGACAAACACATCTGATATGCACTGAGAATCTACAAACAAGCTACCAGTGAGATGGGTTTGGATCAACACTACTGCACTTTGAGTAGCACAGCTCAGCAATTCTCAGCCATTGCTTCCATGTGGTGGTGAAGACTTCTGCTTATAGGATTTTGGCTGAAGGCAGGAACAATGCAAACATCTCTGAAACGCACAGGCTAGCAATAGGGATGTGTACAAGACTGAGGCACTCACTGCACTCCCTAACCAGTTTCCCAGAAACCTCCATAAGCCCTCTCCCACAGCCCATGAGCTCCAGCCACGCTCTTTTGTCAAGAGCCAAACTGCAGCTCACCCCGTGCCAGATGAGCTGGGATATGATGGTCTCTAAGACCACAGATGAGATCTGAGGATATTTCCCGGCCCTTCCTTCCATCATGACAAAACGAGTCTTTCAAAGGAGATTCAGACCACAAGAGGAAGCTGCTTTATAACCACTAGTATCTAATATCGTCCTACAACCTGAGAACAGGAGCAGACAAAGGCACACAGCTCAGCAGAGCCAGGCACGTGGCAGCCCTGATGCATGCAACTGCCTGTGGATTTGGGGGAGACAGCACCAACCAAACGTGGCCGATACAAACATGACCAGTAGTCAGTCATTTGCTCCATAAGCAAACAGCCTGGAGCCTCCCTGCACAGCAGCAGGCTGCACAACAGGATCTGCCCCTGGAGCAGGGCTGCCTGTCAGGCTCACTCCTCAAGGATGAGATTCCTTACCTGCAGCAGATACTCAGTGACTACTAGCCAGCCTCACAAAACTTCCTGCAAGATTGAGAGACGTATTATCTGCTAATGACTTGCTATATGATTTGAGTGATATAAAGCACTAATTGTACATAAAATATTTCAGACAAACTGTTAGCCAGCAGGTCCATTCTAAACCTCATGACACAATGGGAAACTCTCCTTAATAGTTTTGTCTGACCCTGTTCTTTATTTATCTGTGACTTTGCCACTACAAATCCTAAGTCACGTAAGTTTTGCTTCTTCTCTCTTACAGTGACATATAACCTTATCTGTGACAACCTCAGAGAATAAAGCAAGATTTTAGTAGGCATGTAATAACTTCCAGGAGTTCCCAAACCCCCTAGATGGAGGTGGCAGGATGCACAACATCCCATCCCCATTCATAAGAGCCTGAACTATACACTTTGAAGGCAATACACTTATTTCAAAGGTGATATAGCTAAAGTCTATCACTCTGAGGATAGGTGCTTAGAAGAGCCAGGAGTCATAAGGCAAGGAGAAAAGCTTGATGAAGAATTGACAAAAAACTGAAATTAGCTTGATAAAGTATCCGAGACTGCTAAGGCAAGTGGGAGAAGGCCAGATCTCAGCTAGCTGAGAAACTCAGGAGAGCAGGAATGAGGCTGCACAGAGAACACCTGAAGTGACCAGAAAAGAAGACAAGTGAGGAAAACTCAAGAGGAGCAAACCAAGATGACAAACCAAAAGTAAGGAAGAAAGTGCAGAGGCTTACAAAACAGGCCCAGCTGTGCTCTGTCCTGCTGTACTGCATTAACACAGCAAAGCAAGATTAAATCAGATTGAGTCCCTCTCCCTACAACTCAGCTTTTACCAGCATTCTCCAGATATGCACCTGTAAAGAGTCAAGTTAGGATTACTGAGACATTCCTGTGTTAATAGCAAACAGTGGTTATAGACACGCATGCCAGAACACCCTGTGTTAAACACAAGTTACTGCTGCACACTAATGGTCACATAAAATTAGAAACATGCAGAATTAACTTGGTACATGGAGCTGCAAAGCAAATCAGCAGTGCCCATATCTTCAGATAATTACACATACAGAAAACTAAAGCAATATTCCCCATATTGTGCTGCTCTGTGGAAAGTATTTTAACTCCAGCACACAAAAGGCACAGGAACACAGAAGGTTCTAAGTTCTGGGAGAAGCCAATAAAGGGATCCTTTCTGAAAAGGGACAACCTGAAATTGTCACTTCAACACACAAAATATAATTCCTACAGGTGTCAACAGAACATGTCAGAAGCCAGGGACGAGACTGTCCAGGTCCTTTAAGTGCTCAGACATCTACCTCCCTTATATTTTAAATTGATACCCAATTTCTAAATCCTTCAGGCATCTTCAGCCTCCCCAAGCAAGAATCGGGCAAATAAGAGCTCCTTCCTCCTTGGTGCTTTTACATATGACTCAGAAAACAGGGCTGCCAGTGGGCAAAGCCACCACTCACTTGTCACCAGGCAGAAACAGGACACCAAGCATGCCATCCTTCTCCTCGCCCCGACACACGTCGGAGGCCTCTGAGCTCTGGGCGCTCTCAATGGCACTGTCCATGTCAGACTCATGGTGCACCTCCTGCTGTGCCAGAGTCATCGCGTCCTCATCAGGGAACAGCTCCGGCTCGCTGTAGATGCCTTCGCTGTCCAAGTAGGTGCAGTCCTGGATTTCACCACCCTAGCAAAAGAAGAATGAGAAGTCAATTCGTATCATCCTTTAAGGCAGCTAAGAGGATTCAGGGGAAGCAATAACCCACTCTCCAAATTGCCTGGTAAGCAAGAATGGGACTGATTAAAGCCGTAAAACAAAAAGCCTGATGTGCTTTACAAAAGACCAGGTCCTACAAACCTGCAGGGTAGCTTGTACCTCCCATACAGCTTGAATAGCATCCCTGACCCACTGTCTCTATTCTATAGGAGAGTTACAACAAGACTGTTATGAAATGCAGTCAGTTTTGCCCCCATTTACTGTCAAAATGCAATCAGAGTAGTAAATATCCTCAAACGTTTTTTAATCTAGAAAGAGGTATCCTTTGTAAGAAGATTATCACAGGACCAACTCCCAGCCACTTCATGTATTAATATGATCAATTAACAGAAGCAAACCAGGTAAATACAACAGCTTACTTTGTCTTTGTGGCTAGGCAAAAATCTATAGTTGTTTAAAAAAAAAAAAAATAATACTATGGTAAGTCCTGGTGGCAATCAGAGATTTCAGAGAGCCAGAGAGAAAACAAAAAGCTTCAAAGCCATCTGTTCCTGCTTCCTGGAACCACATCCTCATCAAGTATCAACTAAACTAAGGCGTCATTCTCATCTCTGCAACACTCCCCTGTTGTTGCTCATCCCCTCCCTCTCATTCTTGCCCCATGAACATTCACAATAATCAAGGCAAGCTGCTTTCTGTTTTCCTGTCCTTGAGAGGCAAACAAACAAAAAGATTCTTTGATGAAAAAAATAAAGCCTAAGATTTCACTGTCCTTTTTTATGCCACGTGGGGACACAATATTGTCTTGGCAGCTCCATCCAGTGAGACAAAAGCTACCTGAGGTCCCATAGCACTGCCCTGATCCACAGCTCTGCTTTCACGCTCACCTGCAAGCCACACAGGCAGCTTCACCTCTGAACTGCTGCCAGCAAGCCAAGACAACCACACACTGAAAGCACAGTTTACTGGCACACGTAACAAAGCATTTCATCCAGGAACACTCAGCCCTCCTGCCCAGAGCCCTGCACTGCTGTGTGCCCCAGCTGCTCCTTCAGCACCCACCTGCCTTCCAGGCATCCTCTGCTGCCCAGGACACTGCTCTGCCACTGCCACTGAGAATTAAATCTCTTTTTTCAGAACCAGAGATATTTTCTATGCCAATGAGAGCGATTTCTCCTTAGTGGCTTTTCCATCTCAATATAAGAGTCAGCCAGAAGCTGCAGCTCTCTCACATTTGCACCGACTGCTATTAGAAATGCAGGTCTCGGTTTCCATTTTTTCCTGAAATATTTATATGCCTGAAAATCGTGTTGTAAACTCACGTTTCCAATATTTCAGCAGTATCCAGGAGTGTTTGTTTACTCCAACATTTCTTCTTTGTGCCCCACAGGCGTGGAGCCCCCATTTCTCTTAAAACATTTAATGCAATTAGGCTCTGACTGCCATTATAGAATTGCACCAGCTGGCAAAAGCCGGATCCAAGCTGGGAAATGAGACACAGTGGAGCACACAGTGGATCTGTGAAGCATGAGCTTGCAAATCAGGGCAGGAAAGAAGAAAAGAACTCTGCACAGCCCTACCTCCCAATTAGCATCTCTTTTGAGAGGTCTTGGAGATGTCTCTGCTTAAGCAAGTCTTTACAGCACAGAAATCTCACTGGTATTAAAGAAGCTCTCACAAGGAAGTAAAGGCCAAGAAGAGTTCCATGTAGGTAACAACAGACTTTTTTTCTAATAATAGCATTCAATAGCATTCTAGATGCTCTTCAAAAAAAAAAAAGTCCATAAGCAATTAAATGTGCGGTGTTGTGTATAAAGACTAAGGGCTCACTTCCCCTCCCTATCACTTTCTGGCAACCCCATGTACTTGTATTGGTGTTCAGACCCCCAGCTGCAGCACAGACTGTGCCATACACTGCAGTAACTCCAGCACGGCCTCTCCAGCTCCCTCCATTGCACTGCCCTTCAGTGCAGCCACCACCACACTGCTGATATGGGAAGCTTTCCTCCCACAGCCCCAACAATCTTTAGAAGAACACAGATGAAACACCTTGAAAGCAAGAGCACGAGTTAAGACAGCTGCCACAACAAGAAGTCAGGACTGGAGCTTCTCTACAATAACTGGACCCACGTGTTGCTGAGTAATGCTGGGAGATATTTACATTTGTGCAATTGCTCAGTGATCACAGTCTCTCACAGCACCCCGGTTTCAGTGCTGCTTTCCAGGCCACACCTAAGGGAACTGAACTCCAGAAGAAAAAAAAAGGCTGAGTGCAGTGCTTTCCATTGACTCGTCCACAATTAGGTACCTACTGTACCAATTTAGAGCTCAGCAAGAACAAGCATTATTCAGGCACTCCTAAAAGAGCTAGCTGAACCCCAAGCATCATATTATAGATTAGGAGACACCTCTGTCCTGAGTCACTCGTTTTCAGAGCACATGCATGACCCAAAACCAGAAGGAGAAAGAAAAGGGTTCTGATGCCCTGAGTGTGAATCACCGCTGCTCTATGCAGCACCCTTTTGTGTGGGCTGAGTTAAGAGAGATGAAACTGCTGCTTACGGTACCAGAATATTCCCATTAAAAGTACACTGAGTTTAAATGATAGCAACACAACGTAGCTGTGAGTGGCAGTGAGCACCGAGTACTTTGCACTCTAACTGGCTGCTTAAGATATCTTCAAGTACTTCACAGGCAGCGGGCCAGGCTTGTGTAGCAACTGTTGAATATTCAGCAACAGTTTGCTCTATAGGAGCACCTGCTGCCCAGAGATCCGAGGCCACTTCATGGGAACTAATGAATTCCCTTCCTTCAGAGAGCCAATTGTGCGGCTGCATTGCAGACAGATGAGCAGGCACAGTCTGCCTTCCCACAGCCACCCCAAACAGAAGCAGGAGCCAGCGATTCCCATGCACTGCTTCTGATCTGTGGGGCAGGAGGAGGCACCAATGCCCAGTGGGCACGGCAAGACGGCTCAGCCCTGCCTGCAGCAACCCGGCTGGGCTTATCCCAGGTTGGAAGCAATCCATAAAGCAGGCACACAGCGCAGCTGGGAGCTGTAACTCGGCTGACAGGCTGTGTGACACACGCACATCAATATGTTCACGCTGAAGAGCAGTCCCACTTAAAATTCACTCCCACCACAGCCTAATCACCAGCACCGCTGACACTTCCACAGCTTCAAAGTATTCCAGAGGGAACAAGGAAGGCAAGATGATCCGAGTCTCACCATGCGCAACACACTCAGCAGGAGCCAGCACCACCACAGACATCATCTGAACAAGGTCCCTCAGAAGGATCCTGCCCCTGACCCATGCCATCAGAAAGCTGAACCCACCAGCAGCAGGAGAGATGCAAGCCTGGGGTCCCTGCAGCCTGCTCTTCCATTCCTTCCCAGCAGAAGTGGGAAGGGAAGAGGTGCACACGGCAGCATGCCAGGCTTGGGGGGGTCTCAGATAAAATAGTACTCACTGTTGCACACCCACACGGAGGAAATGCAGGCACACACCTTTCTTCAAGCAGCCACTGCACTCAAGTTGTCTCCTAATTCCTGGGTGATCAAGAAGGGTGTGAAGCATTTCTAACCGATGCGTTCTAGAAACACACCACTCCCATATAAACATCAGTACGTTTACACCATGTGAGCTGTAAACTTTTTAAAGCACGTGTTCTTCGCTCAAAATATTTTCCAGTTGTCAGACAGGTATAGAGATGTCCACCTACCGTTTGTTCTGAGCTAATAGGAGGGAACTGTCAGAGGAAGACACAGAAGCGCTGCCCAGGAGAAGGAAGGAACTCATGGCTGCAGGTCCTGCCATGCCTCGCAGCCTTCAGACAGCTTCCCAGGGCAGCATGGAGGGCAGAGGCAGTGCAAACTGCTTCCATCTCCTGCTGCAGCACGGGAAGGGCACCATGTTTCTCCAAATAGCTGAGAGTTTAAAATCTCCAAGGGTTCAAGATAACTGTGCAGAGTGTTTTTACTAAGCTATTCAAATAAGAAGCTATTTCAGGGCCACAAATTAGGTTGCTCAATGCAATGGCTTCCTCCGATTGTGTAGTTACTCAAGTCTAACACTTGAAGCTCCATTTAAGGCAAACCCTTGCACATCCCTGCTGCAGCCACTTAGGAGCAAGTTTATCCCTGAGATCCAAATGCTACCACCAGGGCAGCATGCTGGAAAGCCCCAAGGCAGGGGCAAATTCTGGATGTGTTGCAGCGTGCTGCAAGCAGATGCTTCATATATAACATTTGCACCTCACACAAATGTAAGATTCAAGGACAGCAGGTTTGGATGAAGAGCCCAAGTCTCAGCCTCTGGGCTGCTGATGCTGAACCACTTGAGCAGAGGTTCTGAAAGGCTGCTCTGTGTGCTGGCAGGGAGCTGATGTGCCTTTTCCAAGGAGGAATCTCAGGCTGGAGCCAGCCTGGGAGCAGCAGGAGCAGGAATGTTTACAGTCCGCTACCTGTCACTGTAATTGGCCGTAATGGACATGCCAGACCTCATCACGCACAGGGGCCAGATTCAAACACTCCTTTTCACAGGTCATCGCTTATGCTCTGGAAGCTTTAACATTAAAAGACTTTAGCAGACAGCTAATTTGATCCTCTAAAGAAACCAATAAAAAGAAAGGCTCCTTCCCAGCACTTTGAAGCTGCATCTCATCACTCCCCGGGCTGCTTCCCACTGCTGAGCTATTGTATGCTCACCAGTTGTCACTGCAGGCTCAAAACAGGGAGCAATCCTTTGCAGGAGTAGAAAACATCCCAGCCTGCAGCTTTAGGATGGGGTCAGCACATCAGCCAGAGTTCAGGATAAAAGCCACCATGGCCATTTGGCACCCTGTTCCAATACCCATCAGGGTCACTCCTAGTCTGGATGGCGGGACAGCTTCCATTCCCTTCCACATATCCATCAAAAGAAGTGCCAAGTGGCCTCATGCTGGCTTGCTGTTAAGGATGTCACAAGTAC